GAGATTGTTTCCTTGGCTGTCTGCAAATGGTCTGGTTTGAAGCCAACATGCATCTTCTCCCGAGCATGTCTCTGTCCTTCAAGCCACCGGGTCCTTGACCTCCCCATGATATCAACCCCCCAGCAGCCTGTGGGTTTAGTCTCAGCCTTGGAAGGGGAGGAAGAGGAGGCTGGGCAGGGAGCATGCTTTTACCTGAGACAACAGCGTGCTGGGTTCCTGACCTTGGTAGCCATCCATCAGAGCAAGGGCATGAGGGGGTTGTGGGGTCAGCTGGCTCCACTCTGACCTGCCGGACATCCATTTACACGCAGGCTTCTGTGCAAAATAGCGGGGACCGGACAAGGACACACTGGGGCTTTTGATGGGAAACAAAGTGAGTGACTAAGGCGAGCTTTAACGGGGCATTGACTTTGAGTGGAAACTTGGGAGAAAAATGACTTTGCTCCTATCCTCCCGCTCAGAGCGTCCTTTTTTTATTTTTTTTAATGTCATTTGTTTTGCTTATGCAGTCAGATGCTAATGTTTTGGCGTGCGGTGGAGTCCTTTGCATTTTAAGGTCAAAATCCCTAAAGTTTGTAAATCGCAGTCCTTTAAAAATATCAAATGCGTAGAAATAGTTTATAAACGCGAAGCCTGGCGAGAGCAGCGTGCGAGCGGGGCTGCGAGATGAACTCGGTGATCTTGGCCTCTCTGGCCATTTGCCTGCCGGTTCTCCCAGGCTCCGTGGCCGCTTGTTTGTACAATGCCTAGCGCAACTGCGAGAGCGGATTTTGGGTAGGACCCACTCTGTGGAAGCACCGCAAGGCACGAAGCGATGGCCCGTGACATTGGCCGGATCGTTCTCCTTTTGTCCTTCTGAAGTCTGGTCTCCAGGGATCTAAGAGAACTGGAGGAAAAACAGGGTTTCGAGAAGCCTGGTCTCTGGGTGAGATGTCTCAAACCGAGCCCCCAAATCCCCCATTGCTTTGGAAAGCTACAGCCAGCTGAACAGAGGTCCTTCTCCACCTTCCCGCTGCGTAAGGCGAATCTCTGCTCTACAGATGCTGGAGACGATGGTGGAGACATAATTTTCCAGAGCGACTGCGACTCCTGTTAGCGTTCAAAAATCAAACCAGAAGACCCTGCCTGGTCTCCCCGGGGGGAACATCGAATGCAGTTCCCTGTCGGTGCGACGGCAGCGACTGTAGGCACGGCATCTCGGCGAAAGCCTGCACGTGGAAGCCGCGTCGATGAGGTTTTAATGGGCGTCGTAAAAACTATACAGCCAGCCAAGCCTGGGATCCCCATCGGCGGTCCCGGCGGCCCTCGCTGCTGCGCTTGCTTTTCGGCTTCAAACCTGAAATTTCCGAACGAAGCTTAGGTGTAGCAGCTGGTTTTGGTCCGGGTTAACGCGCTTTCCCATGCATTCCTTCCAAGGCGTTGTGTGTGTGTGTGTGTGTGTGTGTGTGTGTGTGTGTGCGGGTGTGCGTGTGGGTGTGCTTTGGGGACAGCAGGAGGTACGCAAAAGGGGGGACATTTTATTTGCGCAAGATTTGATTAAAATCTTGGAAACGGGTTTCAGATGACAGTGAAAGCTGAAACCGGGGAAGCTGAGCCTGGTCTGCTTTTGTTACTGCAGCTCTGCTCGGCTCTGACCTCTGGGCACCCCAAACTGCAGGCAAGCGATTTGTCGGCAGGCGAGGGAGGGCGGCACTAGGGCTCCGTCCTCCTGCTGGGTACCCGGCAGGAGACTCCCCTGACCCCAGCAAAGTCACGTCGCGCAGAGCGGGATAAGGCCCCACATGCTCCCCGGGCCGGCGGGGATTGACAAAAAATAATAATAATAAAAAAAAGGTGTTTAGGTAGCTTTGGTATCTCGAAACCGGAGGAGGCAGAACTGAGAGATAAACCGTTTCTCCCCCCCCGCTCCCCAAAATCTCCTCCAGATCACTCAGCTAGGACTTGTCCACAAACACGTAGGCAGAGCTTTATAAACGCATTTAATTGTACACGTGTGACCTCGTATATAGATGTGGGACACTGCTGACTAAAATTAGGCTTCTGCAAGCGTTTGCAGGCTTGGGGCTTTTCGCCGTGTTTCGTTCTAAAGAAATTTGAACTAGTAGCTGCTGGTCTAACAAGAAAAGTGTCGCCGATGCTTCGGTTCTAAGTTTGCCGAGTGCAAACTATTTGGAATGGGAAGTCCTGAAATGCAGGTTTTGCTGCGTTTTGGCGTTAAACAACAACAAGAAGCAACCACCCTCCTTTAGCACTTTGCAAATGCATTTTTTTTTCCTTTTTTTTTTGGATCCGAAGACAGACCGTTTTCTTCTCTAGTGACCTCTGCCTGGGAATCGCTTTTAAGGATTCCGTGTTTTGACGTTTTGTTTGCGCAGAGCTCAGCGTTCACCTTGCTAAACGGAAACCCTATCCCCTGCTACTGCAAAACTCATGCGCTGGGTTATGTGCAAGCCCAGCCGCCGGGGGCTTGCAGGGCGGAATAGGAGTGATTGGTGATAGATACTCCCTTTCTTGTCCTGCAAAGATTTAAAAAAATAAATAAATAAATAAACAAATACACTTTTGCACGGCCAGGCACCTCGCCTCCCCCTGGGTCTCTTGGTGGCTTGCCGAAGGAAGTCATCTTCGCAGAGGTTTTCGTGAGTGATTCAATGTAAAACAGGGGTAGAAGCGTTTTCTTAGGCTGCCTCTGACTCATCTTCCCATAGCGACGGGGAGCAGTGAACTGCCGTTTAACCAGCCGGCGGAGGGGAGTGATTCCTGGGTGGTCCCTGTAACCACAGAGCGCAGAAAAGCAAAGCATTAAAATGTAACATGAGGATGAAGGGAAAGGGGCACTGAACCACTTTCTCCCAGCGTTATCTCCGAGCGGCAGATGGAGAACGGAGATATCTAGGGTGCCTGCTCATTTTTCCATGCCCTCTCCGGCCAAATCCAGTAAATAATGAAGTGTAATTTGCCAAATAGCCCTTGACTGTGTTCTTTGCTTTTGATGGTCCAGATACTTCCACTGCAGCAGGCAATTCCCTGATTTATGTGGCGGTTAGGGAGAGGAATCAGGCCCCGAGAGGCCTGGAGTCGGGGAGAGAGCTGTGCAGCGTGACTGGTGCTACCTGAGCAAAGAATCGTGCAAATCGTCACCTGAGTGGCTTGGTGACTGATGGAAAGGGAGCTGAAAATAGAGAGATTCGGCGTATCTGTTACCCCAGCGCAATAGCTGGAAGGCGCCAAGATGGAGGCAGAAAAGAGGCTTTTTTAGTTTGGAGATGGAATTGCGCTGGGGTCAGCCGCTGGCCTGGGGTTGCTTTGCAGAGGGCTCGTCCTTGCCCTGCGCGGCAGGACTCAACGTGGGCTCCTGGGAGCGTTCCTGTGCTCTGCGGGCTCAGAAGTAGCCCTTCAGCCTGCCTCTGCGACAGCGTCTGCTCACCCGGCCCCTGGATGTGCACCCCATTGCGCCCTTTGGGCTTGAGTTTGGCTGAGGAGGAGCTGGGTGGACCGTGAAGTCCGGGCAGGCGCGGACAACCTCTACTCAGTGCCTGCAGAGCTGTCCCCAGCCCTGGGCCACCGGGGCAGTAGCTCTTCTCGAAGTAGGCCCTGGCCAACGTTTTGCAGGTATAATGGGTTATTAAATCAGAGCCTATATTCACATCTGTGACGTAGAGTTACGGCAAGCAAAGGTGGCTAGGATTCCCACCAAAAAAATAAAATAAAAAGGGAATTATTTGTGTTTTGATGCCCACATCCAGACAGTCATGAGAACACCAAAAAAAGAGGATTCTTTGCATTTCGATGCCCACATCCAGACAGTCATGCAAACACCAAAAAAAGAGGATTCTTTGCATTTCGGTGCCCACATCCAGACAGTCATGAAAACACCGAAAAAGCACGTGCAAGTTGTCTTGTTTTCCACTGAGAACAGTTTTCATTGAAAAATGTCCAACAGGCTATAGTCACGCCAGCTCCTACGCTCAGGTGGAAGCACTTTGAGCTTTACAGTGAGACTGACAAAGTTCAGTCATTTGAGATGGTGATTTTAGGAGGGGCCTTCTCCACAAAAGACGTTTTTCAGGAATGCTTAAAATACATGAAAAAGAGCCAAACCTTTGTTCAGATTGAGGGGAATTTTTTTTTTTTAAGCGGTTTACGAAACTCTTAGGCTGCAAATGTCTACTCCCTTCCAAATAATAATTGGGGAAAAAAAAAGAAAAAAAAAGTAAAAAAAGAAAGAAAGGGAGCAAGACCTTTGCTTCTCGCCAGGCCTTGCTCCAAGGCCCCGGCGCTCGGCCTGGCCCGCGGCTCTCCCATGGGGGCGGCTGAGCGTTGTGCGGTGACTCACACCAAATCGCGGCGCTCCGCTCTGCTGGCCGCCCGTTATGTAACTCTGGGCTAGTGTGGGATTTTCCAGCTCTTTGTTTTGCCTCCCTCCTCGGATGGATTTTCTGCCCGTTCTTCATCATGCCTCATCCTGCCGTGAACTTACTTTTTCCAGGATTGCCTGGGATCCTTTTAAAATTATGTTCTCCCCTTGCTTTGGCATGGCCACCCCGGAGCGAGGGCGGTAATTCAGAGATGCTGGGCGTATGGGGCTGAGCAGGTCGATGACTGTGGTGGTCTCTGATATGACTGTCAAGTTTCCAGTAGCGTGGCCATGGTTGGCTTGGAGGGAGACCGTGCGCATCATGTAACTGGGCTCACCAGGCAAGGCCTGTCTATGTCCTCCAGCCCCAGCGCGGTGAAACACTTCAGCCCAGGCTTATTGTAAGCATATGGTCCTTTCCCCTGTGCTTAAGAAGTCTGCTCATGGGCTTGCAATTAATAGCAGGTTTAGGGCAAGAGACTCTGGGTGGGAAACTTTCAAGAGAAAAAAAAAAAGGATTGTTCTTTTTTTCCGGCAGTTAAATGGACAACGTAGTTAAGGAGTACTTCTGATGCTTGAGGAGTCGTGTTGTCTTTCCCAGGCCCGTGTCCTTATGGCCGTTTTTCTTTCCTGCTTCTTTCAGACATGGAATGTGCAGACGTGCCTTTGTTAACCCCCAGCAGCAAAGAAATGATGTCTCAGGCATTGAAGGCCACCTTCAGTGGCTTTGCAAAAGAGCAGCAGCGGCTGGGAATCCCCAAAGGTAAGGCACAGCGCCCCACTGAGCAGCCGTGGCAGATACAGAGAACGTTTCCCCCTGCCAGGATCCCCGTCTCCAAATCTGCCGCCTCTTTCATTGATTCTCCTCATGTAGTACTGCCTTGTTTCCCGGCAGCTTCAGCTGGAAAAGTCTGGACATACAGGCACAATCTTTCAGATGGTGCCTGGCTGAGATAACCTCTGCTGCATGACCGCTCTTGTCATTTTGGTGAGCTGCTCCTTTGGAGACAGCTCGGGGACCTCTATCTGAAAGGACCTCGTCATGTCCACGATACGGAGAAGCAGCTGGGATGCTTTACAAGAGGCTGATAACAGGGAGAAACCATGCAAGATGAAGAAGCGGGTGGGAGAAGGGGGTCAGAGAACGAGTGGGATTTTAAAAGCTCCGAAGCAAATCCAAAGCTCGTTCCTCATATTAAACATGTCTGCAGATAGGGCTGTTACAAGTTGTCCAAAGGCAGGGACAAAGAGAACTGGCAAAGGGGAAGGTACAGTGTTTCCCCACTTTATCCCACGCTTACTCCAAAGGACTGTCCGTCTTTAAGGGATGAAGCTGTGCAGGTGGCTTATCCACCGGTATAGCTGTAGGCTTGTTTGCGTCCTGTTTTCCTGGGAGGATGTCTTGTGGTTACTCATCAGTGGGTCTCTTCCGCAACCCCTTGGTGCAGATCCCCAGCAGTGGACGGAGACGCACGTGCGGGACTGGGTGATGTGGGCGATGAACGAGTTTAGCCTCAAGGGTGTGGATTTCCAGAAGTTCTGCATGAACGGAGCGGCCCTCTGCGCCCTGGGCAAGGAGTGCTTCCTGGAGCTAGCGCCTGACTTTGTGGGAGAGATCCTCTGGGAACACTTGGAGATCCTGCAGAAAGGTGAGTCCTGCTGTCTCCGGGGTGAATTGCTCCTGTGGTTTTGGCTAGTCTGGTTGTGGGCCTTTCCAAAGAGCTTGGCTCACAGTGCGGCTCTGCAATGAGGTGTTCGCTTTGGGCCGTGATAGCAGCAAGGGCAGCTTTGAGAGTCTCTGTCTTCCCAGTAGGACTTCAAACGGGCATCCCAACCAGTGGTGGCTAACGCAAATCCTGGCACTCCTTGAAAGAGGAAGGGTGTTTATGCTGGTCTCTGGCAGGAATACACAGCGGGCAGGGACATTTTGCCTGCCTGGAAACTCATAGTGGGATTTTCCGAAGCGTTCTTTGTCGGTTCATTCAGCTCCCGTTGTGAATTTTACTACTTCCTCCAGCGGGACAGCATCAACAAAATCCCACCCAGTTGCGACTGAAAGCTGCTTTTCTGTGGTTTCTGTCCCAAAAGGTGTAATAGCATTTAGTGAAGGGTGGCTGTGTCCCCCACAGGGAGCTGCAGTCTCTGCCATTCCCTGCCTGCTAGCATTTGAGGGCATTCACTTTCGTTGATCTTGGGGGATGTTGATTTTAGGTGTTGTTTTTTATAGTGTCTGGCTGAAGGATGCCCACGCACCGCTTGCAACCTGGGAAGGTTTCTAAAGAGCAGCTGAAAAATCTGAGACCTTTAACTGAGTCACGCACAGGAGTGGCAGCAAATTTGGGCTCCCTCTCTGGCTTGGTTTTGTGCGGAGCTCTTTGCTTTCCGGGAACATCCCTTGCACTGCATAGTGACCGTGTGTGCCTGTCACTTGGCCTGCCTTGGTGGCAGGAAGGGGAGGGGGAGCAAAGTTATACCTTCCAGGAAACCATTGACAAATGGATGTTAAATTACCGATTACTAATTTTACTGGTACCTGTGGTTTGCAGAAGGTAAACATGGTTCTTCCCAGGGCCTGTGACGGGCTGTTTTTCTGCTCCTTGTTGGAGTCTGTATCATCTGTTTGGTTCTTCTCTTTTTGCATTATTTTTATTGAGCGCTTATATCAACAGCAAAGCAAGCAGTTTAATGAAAGCAAGATGACGTGGGTCAATTTGATTTCTCCTTGCTATATGCCACGGCTTGTAACACAGCTCTGCCTGCCCGTTACTCTTCTTGTGCTCGTGCCGTAACCTGCTGGAGCGGGGTGCCTTGTGCTGCAGGCGCTTGCCAAGGCATCAGAGATCTGGGTTTGCTCCCGTTTCTGTAGTTCCCAGCCGCATTCTGCAGATCCCCCAAGACATGGAAATGAACTTGGTGCTGCTGTAAAGTTGCAAGCTGAACTTGCTAGCTGTAAAGTAAGGATCGTATTTCCTTATGTTATAGCACCCACTGACGCATGTGGGTGTTGAGATGCTGCAGTCACGTATGTGTAAGCTCTTTGACAGATAGGAGCTTTTACAAAAGAAGGTGGAAACCTTTGTGCCTGTCAGGCTCTGGACTCAAAAGTTGCAACTTTTATCTCAAAAGAGTGAAGAAGAATAAAACGGAATTTCTTTGTCTCAGCACGGTTGACCCAGCCCGGGGAACCAAGAAATCTGCGTTCTGTATCCAGTGTTACTAGTGACTTTTGTCACTTCTTGCATAAGCTACCTGAGATCTAGCTTCCATGGTGGCTGCTTAACACGTTTCACAGAGGTGCAATTTCTGTGAAGCGTTTGGAGATTAACTGAAAAGAGCTTCCAAGAAATAACAGCTTCACCCCTAGAACTAATTCCTGTCCTCTCTAAGTCATGAGACTCGTCTTGCTGGTATTACATCTCAAATCCCCAGACGAGGTCTGGGTTCTGTTGTGCTGGGTGCTGCACAAGCATAACGTGTCAAACAGTCCCTGCCACGTCTCTCGATGCACAGGATGGTCCTGTCCACTTTGCAGTCGGGGACGCGACGCATAAAGAGATGAAGGTTTCCTCAGGCTCACGGATAAGGGTGAGGGTCCAACTCGTCACTCCCCATCTCTTCCATCCTTGCCAGCTGCCCACCAGCATCACTTGGTGTCGTGGAGGCTGGGATTAGCTGTTAACCCCGATGTCTGGCTGTTAACCAAGAGGTTGGCTTTACCTATAGCTGTCCCACCGCTGGCGTCAGGTCATGCTGGGACAGGCTGTGACCTCAGTGTCCCTCCTATTAACATGCCTCCCTTGTGAGCTCTTTCCGAGAGAGTGACTCATGCACCACAGGCTGCTCAGGGTTTAAAAACGGCAGGAGACGGGCAACTTTTCCCTGCATGGATTTGGGTATTTTCAGGCATATTTTTTTCCAAATTTCTTCCTAAAATAGCCTCCTCAGTTACCAGCAGTCAGCAGTGCCCTCCACTTGACTGTAAGCATAGCTGAAGGTTGCTCTCTTTCTCTGTGGTCACCCACCCTGCCCCTCGGCAGACTCCGTGGGGAGAGGAAAAGCGCATTTCTCATTAGGTCTCTCTGTTTGCACAAACCCTCCTTTTGTTAGAGCATATTTTCCACCCTGCAATCCCCAGGAGAGAAGGCCAAAATTAGGCTCCTTGCGAGCGAACGTGCGTTATCTTTGGTTAGTGTCTCTTAAGCCTCAGCAGAAATAAACAGACCCCGGCGTTGTCTGGGTTTGTTTATTTATTTATTTATTTATTTTTGCTACCCTCTGCAAAGAAAATAAAATCTCCCATGCCGGTATCTCTGCCCGCCTGCCGTGCGGGAACTGGAGCCCGAATGAGTAAGGTGCTAATGGAAAAAGCGGCCAGGGGAGCGACAGTGGGGCTACTAAATGGGAAGGCAAACTCAGCGCCAAGCGCCGGAGTGCCAAGGTGCGGGGAAAACGCCGTGGAAAGCGGAAAATCTGTGCTTTGATGTGCTGCTTACTCGCTCTTAGTGAATCACGCCTGTCTAGAGCTGCGTGTATACGCGTGCAGCGTTGAGTCCGTGTCAGGAGTTGGTCAATGGGCAGCGCAGCAAAGCTTGTCTGGGCGTAGGATCCTCTGCCCTCACCAGGTGTCAGGTAAAAAGCCTAAAAATAGGGGCTTTTTCAGGAAAACAACTGTCCCTGCGCGCTGGGGTTTTTCATGAGCTCATACGAGTAACCTTGATAAACAATCATCAAAAGAATGAAAGACAACAAAAGTTAAAGGAAGCGAGGAAATTATGTAACTAATATTTCAAAACCACCTGGAGCCTCTGATTGAGAAAGGGCTTGAGGGGTTTTTTGTTGTTGTTGTTTTATGCGTTTTTGTTTGTTTGCTTGGTTTTTTTTGGTTTGGTTTGCCATGTTTTGTTTGTTTGGCCAGGCCTGAAACGAGAATTCCCAAAGGAGGCCAAGTGCGTTGGGCGCTTGCTTCAGTGGGATTTCGGCACTCAACTCATTTCTCTTCCTTTGGAAGTCCCAGTTTAAACTGGAGAGGAGAATTGTAGGAAGTTCAGACCTCTCTGCGTTACTGAAAGTTTTGCGAAGCGCCCAGTGCCTACGGACATGTGACATTTGCTTCCTTTTCTTCTTTGCAGAAGAGGTGAAACCATACGCAGCAAATGGAGTGAATGCAGCATATCCAGAATCCCGCTATACTTCAGACTACTTCATTAGTAAGTCCCAGTGCTTCAGGACGGCAAAGTGTCACCTAGCATAGGTTTGTCTGCATCAAGTGAGGACCGCACCACGCAGTTGTCGCCCTGTCGTGGCAGAGCTTGCAAAGCATGTGACTTGGTCTTTCCTCCTCTGTCTTCTGCTCTTCGTAGTGAAACGATCCTGGTAGCATTTATCAATGAGTTTCAGAGTTAACCTCCAGTGACAGTAAGTGTGTGTGGTACGTGCTTAGAGGGGTTGATTCAGGATATCTGCAAACTCAGAGCAAATGTCACTTTTGTCTGGTATTTTGGGCCGACGTTTTTAGAAGCCGTCCTTATGTTTCGGTGGCTGCCCTGAGAAGTCGTTACCTGACTTTGCAAGCAGTGTTTGTTTGAAGCTGTAGCTCAGCAGGTCTGGAAAGAAACCTGCTCAGCACCCCAGAATGGTGGGAAAGTTTTCAATTTGGGAACTTATTAAAAAAAATAAAAAGAGGGGGCAAAGGGAAAGGGAATCATTCTGGATTGCTAGGTGGGAACTTGGCAAGGAAAGAGATGGATGATCAGTCTGGACCCCATTGCCATTGGTTTGGAGATTTTCTGTAGGAGAGATGCATCTGAGAGCTCAGTGTGCTGTGGGAGACTTGAAGGGGAGTGAGCAACACTATGACTTTCTTCGAGCCGGCCTCGTTCGGGCTGCGTCCTGACGTTCCCGCTCTGCCGGCAGGTTATGGCATCGAGCACGCGCAGTGCGTGCCTCCCTCAGAGTTCTCCGAGCCCAGCTTCATCACCGAGTCCTACCAGACGCTCCATCCCATCAGCTCCGAAGAGCTCCTGTCCCTCAAGTACGAGAACGACTATCCCTCGGTCATCCTGCGGGACCCCGTGCAGACGGACTCCCTGCAGACGGACTACTTCACGATCAAGCAAGAAGTGGTAACGCCAGATAACATGTGCATGGGACGTGCCAGTCGAGGTAAAGTCAGGCTTCTCCCGGGGTGCTGCTTGGGTTCTTGCTGTCTCTACCCATATCAGCGTGTACAGGCGCTGCATTTCCCTCTGCAGGAGATGGTCCCTCGCGGGGACTGAGCCCAGCGGGGAGCCGCGCTACGGCACGGCTGTTTCCCAGTGTTTGTATCCCGTGGGGTTGAACCTCCCAGATAGATTCCTTGATGGCTTTGAGCCCTCCCTGCCTTTTTCTCGGGGGGAAAACATTAAGAGGGTATTTCTCTCCTCTGCTCGGCTGCCTGTTTTTACAACATCTGCAAAAATGTAACATTTCTGGCTCTCTACTTTGATGTTGAACTTGAGTGAAGTTGAAGTAGGCTCAGAAGTTACTAGGGAGGACAGGCTGCTGTGTGGTTGTATAAATCTCATTTTCCTAGGAGACCAGGCAAAAACCCACAAATCCTTCCCAAGTTCTCGTCAGGAATTATTGCCCAAGGCTCTGAAAGCTTTTACACATGATGATCTGAAGTCTTTATCCATTATCTCCATTGATTTGGATGGCTGTTTCCTTGACCTGATCATCTCTTCCATTGAACTCAAGCCCTATGCTTTGTTAGGAGACGCAGGTGTTGGGTCAGTGACAGAGCCGAATAACCCCCTGAATTCTTGGGCTACGATCCTACATCTCGAAAGAATGATAGATACATAATTCCTGTTTGAGCTGGTGGGAGTTAAACACCTAAACACTTTGGAGGATCTGAGCCCAAATGCCTTTTCAATTAATATTATTGAATTCTGAACACATGGGGCCCAGATGCCCAACTACATGGTAATTGCATTGCTTAAAGCGAGGCTGAGGATCTGACTCACGGTATCTATTCAAAGCAAAAAGTTTTAATTCGTAGCACTCAAAGCCACATCCAAAGGGGTATCATTATCTCCAGATTCCAGGTAGGGGACCCGAGGCACAGGGAGGAGATCTGACGGGCCTGCCATCGGGCCCTGAATAGAATCCAGGTGCCCTCGTTCCTAAAATTCATTATAGGAGCGTGTTGCTGTGAGCCAGGTTTGATGTTGAATGTTTAAACCCATTCATACAGCACCGAGAGCGGAGGCTGCGTTGGTTCCCCGTGCAAGCCGGAGCCCCTTTGCCGGCCTGCATCGCACGTGCAGCGCTCGGTGGAGCTCATTTTAAGCTTCTCATTCTTTTTTCCGAGCTGGGAGAGCTAATGACAGGAAAGTTGTTATTTGTATGATTCCCCCGGCTTCTGCTAGCTGAGCGTTAATATGAGAGAGGTGACGATACGGCGAGCCAAAAGGGCAGCTGTGTTATAATTTTAGGTAAGCTCCTTCTTCTGGGGTTGTTTTTCTGGCTATCTTTCATTTGTGTCCTTCCCTTTTCTTGACCTTTTCTTTCATGTAGGTGATTTCATAATAATTCTCATTGAAATGCAATGATTCAGGCCTGCTTTTGCAATTGTACCTTGAGCCTGTTCTCTCTGGCAAGCCTAAAAAGGCTCGAGGAGAGAGAAGTAAGAGACCTTAACTTTGCACTGGGGACCCAGGGCCACGAGTGTTAGCAAACACTTTAGCGCTGGTTGTGATTTAAGAAATGCAACAGGCTACGGTCTTGCTTACACGAACACTCATTTTAGCAATGTGGAAGGGCCTTTGGGTGGTATAAATCCTCCCAGAGTGATATAAAGGAGCCTTAATATAAACCAGAGTCCAGCTTATTTATATTTACATGCATTTTTACCTTCCACACCAAGTAACTGTATTAAAAGATTAATCAGCCGCAAAGTCAAACACTTCAGAAGCAGGAAGGTCAGGCTGCAGGTTTTGCAGGCAGTCCCGTTCTGCCTTTCTTTGTGCAGGCGTTAGGAGTTAGTTCTGTGGTTCCTTGGGAGTTTTTTCCCCCCTCTGCCTTATCAGCGAAGGCGTCTCTTTGGAAAACGTAGCTGCCAAACTCTTACCAAGTTTCTACTTAGGAGGTGCAAGGCGGGATTTTCAAAGGCTCACAGCTAGGTCAAGTTTAGGTGAGTTTTCAGTGAGATGACAAAAGTTGCGTCTCTTGACGCCGAGGCTGTTCCTCTGGGAGATTTTCCATTCCTTTTCTAGAGGAACTTGCGCCCCAGGACGTCTCGGGGAAGTGGTTAAGTCAGTTAAGGTGCACAAAGCAGTGTATTTTCTCGTTGCAGGATTTGGGAAGTAATTGAACTGTATTTTGTGCAATTCTCAAATAACTAAGAGAGAAAAAAAAAAAGAGTTAGAAGCACGGATATTATCGGTAGAAACATTTGAAGTTGGAACCCGTTATGAGTAAGCCAGAAAGCTTTTGAGGGGAAACGTCGGGCGCTGGACCGCGTTAAGCCTCGTGGCATCATTTTAAGGGGAATTTGGGCATCCCAGATTTGAAAGAAGTCAGTGCTGGCTCGTGCGAGCAGTTCACGTGCGTCGTCTTCGGAGGGACAGGGAGATGCCTGTAGCTCAGGCCAGGAATCGGGAGAGAGCCGGCTTCGGCCCCGCTCTGCACCCACAGTAGTTAAAGTCATTTTGCAGCAAGTGCTCTTCAAACTACAACACAACAACTATTTGGGGGAGCGTGCCAGCGTTGTTCCACGTTCCCGTTCCCCCGTGATTTACTAGCTGGGCCCAAGCCGCGGGTAGCTCTGCCAATGGAAATTTCTCCAGGAGTTCTTGCACAATCCCAGCAGCTGTTTTTAGCCCGGTTTGGGAAATTAGTGAACTTGAATGATCCTGTTACGCTCTTCGTTTGTCAGTAAAGATGTTGAGCAATCGGCAGCGTAAAGGGAGATCAGAGAGCGCAATTTCAGTTTGTTCTTGGGATCCTTTTTTAGCTCTCTGGTCTTTTAAGTACAGTGGGTATGTTACGCTGTCTCTAGCGGGTGTAAATCACCATAGCACTGGTGAGGATCTGGCCTTTTGTATTCTAGTCTTTACTAAAAATACCCCAGAGAGTAGCCTTGATACAACCCAGCTGTGCTCACCTTACCAGAACTGGAAAAATAGCTGTTTGAGCTCTCAGCCTTTGGCTCTCCTCCTCCATCAAGTCAGCTGCTGCCTGGGGATTTGGGGGGGGGGGGGG